CCCCCCCCCACACAAACCCCCAGCCTCTTCCCCTGCCACTGTGCCCCATCAGTACCTTCCCCCTCCACAGACTGCTGCCATTTCTTGCCCACTGCAGGCGCACGGGAGTCTGCTTTCATCCACACCACCTCTGCTGCTGGTGTTGCTTCTCCCGTTACCTGTGCCTGCAGCCATGGGGAGCTGGAGGAGTGTGGCTGTGACCACAAGGTCAGAGGAGTCAGCCCCAAAGGTGAAGGAGGAGGCTGGTGACAGGAAGAGGGGTGGTGGAGGAAAAGATCCATGGGGAAGATTCTCACCAGGGGGGGAGGCAAATCCCTCCTCCATAGCCCTCAGCCCTTCAGAAGCTCCTCTCAGGGCTTCTTCATCTCGTGGCTGCTTTCCCTCTGCAGGATTCCAATGGTCAGGCTGCTCTGATAACCTCTCTTATGGGACTGCCTTTTCTCAAGCCTTTGTAGACAGCCTCGAGAGGAGCCACGGTATCTCAGGAACCTGCACAGCAGTGAGGCTGGGAGGAAGGTAAGGGCAGGAGCAAGGGCTGGGAAGCAAGCCTGGTTTCAGGGGTGTCTCTCTGCCTAGGTGGAGCGTGGTCCAGCCCCCCTCCTCTGAGGAGCAGTGCAGGGCAGCCACCAGCTCCCAGAGGGGTCTGGATCCTGCTGACTTTCCCCAGGCCAGTTCTGTGCTGACTGCACTGAGCTGGCTTCTTGCCAGGGTCCCAGGCCCCCCTTACCCACCTTTGTGCAGAGTCCTCACAGAGCTCAGCTGTGAGTTACTTTCCTTGGCCTGTTCTGCAGAGGAAAAGAGTTTCCCCTGTCTGCTCTGAAGAGCTCCCCTCTCCCTCCAGTCCTCTGCAGGGGATGTTGTCTGATTAGGAACCCTGACTACTCTCTGGCTCTGGGCACATCTACTGCCCTCCCTGCAGCCTCATGGGTCAGAGCAGGTCTCTGCCTTTTTCTGCACCTCAGGGGTTTCTTTTACAGACCCAAGCCAGCCTGTTTCCCACAGCATAGATCCCCTTCTGTTTCATACTGGTTTGGCTTAAGAAGACTTTATTGCTTCCTTTCCTTTCCTTTCCTTTCCTTTCCTCCTTTCCTTTCCCTTTTCCTTTCCTTTCCCTTTTCCTTTCCTTTCCCTTTTCCTTTCCTTTCCCTTTTCCTTTCCTTTCCCTTTTCCTTTCCTTTCCCTTTTCCTTTCCTTTCCCTTTTCCTTTCCTTTCCCTTTTCCTTTCCTTTCCCTTTTCCTTTCCTTTCCCTTTTCCTTTCCTTTCCCTTTTCCTTTCCTTTCCCTTTTCCTTTCCTTTCCCTTTTCCTTTCCTTTCCCTTTTCCTTTCCTTTCCCTTTTCCTTTCCTTTCCCTTTTCCTTTCCTTTCCCTTTTCCTTTCCTTTTCCCTTTTCCTTTTCCTTTTCCTTTCCTCTGTGGGAGCTGTGGTGAGACACCTGCAAGGAGCCTGAGTCCACAGGACTGACACTGCCCACCTCTGTCCATCCTTCTCCCAAGGAAAGAGGACCCCCATGATGGATGACATCTGGAGGCTGGCATTGTGGGGGCACCAGAGGGAAAAGGGGAGAATCATGTGGGAAGCAAGAGGGAGGGGATGATAGCTGAACTGTTTCCTAGGATACAAGCCAGTCCTCTGTCCTGCTCTGGTGCTTCAGGCTTTTGTTACCCCCTAGGAAGCACACAGTAGATGGGGGGACTCTTCTCTGCAGGGATATACAGAGGTACCCCAGCGGGTGGGAGGCTCCTCCCAGCTCCTCAGTCCCAGCGCTGGTGGCTGTCTCCACTGCCATCTCCTGCAGAGCCTGGGCAGATCCCACCACCCAGCTGCATGCCAGCTGTGCTCGGGTCACTGTCAGCCCCACCCTGACCACGCCGAACTCTGTCCTGTGGAGGGAAGCAGCGGGGCAGCGAGTCGTGCAGGGGCTCGGGGCTGGCTGTGGAGGGACAGGCCATGGAGGAGAGGGTGTGTAAAGGGCAGTGCAGGCTGCCCTCACCTCTCTATGGGCTCTGCTGGAGACACTGGTGGCTCTTGAGCATGCAGTAGCTGGGGTGCTGAACTCCATCTGAGTCACAGATCTGGGGAGAGGGGAACGAAGGTGGGAGAAAGAAAAGGAGGAGGGATGAGAGCATCCACTGGGAGCACACCTGGCTTGGGGCATCTCTGTTTTGGAAGGCAGTGTATTCTGCCTTCAGCCAGAGGGTCGCACGAGGGTCCTCACAGCCGTGGTTGGCCATCCCACTGACCAGTGCTTCCCCCCCAGCCCTCTGAACACCTCTGTGCCATAGTGCTCCGAGGTGTCTGAGGAGCTGCTCTGCAAACAGGAGGGGTGAAGAGAGCCCTGCAGCACTCCTGGCACCGTGCTGCCTGCAGCCTGCTGCTCGGCTGAGACCTGAGTGCTGATGTGGGCATTGAAGGTGCCTGGTTCTCAATGAACACGGTTCAGGTTCAGGTTTGTCCTGACACTGGTCCCTCTTCAGCAAGCAGAAAGCAGTCAGGGCACAGGTCTGTATGACAGCACCCAAGGCTGTCACACACTTAGAGAGGTCAGGGGGAGAAAGGAGGCCGAGGAGCTCCCATATCCCTGGCTTGGAGCTTGCCTCCCTGGTCACCCAGGTCAGCTTCTCCCAAGAGGTGGCACCTGACAGGACAGTGCTGATAAGCTCTGGCTGCTGGAGCGTTGTGGTCAGCACTGCAGGGAGCCCTGCTCACAGTGGGGGTCAAAGGAGGACATCAGCATCTCTACCGAACCCCCAAACCTGACAACTCTTTCTTCCGCAGGCCTGGGTTACCACCACTGAGAGACAGTTTCCTTCCAGCAGTGCATAGCATGGGATCATCATTGCCTTGTCCTTCTGGGCTAAAAGGCTGACAGAGGAAGGGATTTCTCCCCAGAGAAATCTTGGATGCACTTCATGGAGTGACGGGGTGTCTGCAGCATCTGCACGTGCCTGTGTGACACGGTGGCTAGGGGATTGCATGTGCATTTGGGAACACGTGGGAGGGACTGAATGAGGAGCACAGCTTGAGGAACTTTCCGAGGGACACTGCAACTGCTGCCTAGTTTTGTCCACCCCAGTGCCCAGCAAGGAGACAATGAGTTAGAGATGTGCTGCATGTTGACCGTGGGGCAGCCCCATTTGGGTCTGCAGGATGTAACTTAGTAAGCCTCCCTCCTGCTTGAGCCAATGTGTTTGGCAGAAAGAAAGGGAAAAAAACTGGGAACAATGAATTAACTCCAGCTTCCCGTGTCAGTTTGCATTAAAAGGCAGAAAATGTAAGGACGGTGGGATAAGGACAATAAGAATATTTTGCATCTCTTAAGAAACAGCAGACACGGTACAGAACGGTTATTAGGCAGTGATGGTGTCAATTGTCAGCAACGATTCTGAAGAGGTAAAAATGCTCATTAAATATTTGTCTTCTGTGTCTAGAAACAAGAATAGTGATAAATAAACAAAACGTGATCTGGCAGAAAGTAAGAAGAAAAGATCAGCAAGTACTTACATTAAAATGCTCTTATGCATGGGCTAACCTGCGTGAAGAAGTTTTCCAAGGAAAAGCAGACACTTCTTGGAGACCTTCAGGTTAACATTAAAAAAACCAAACCAAAACAAAAAGAGATGGAGAACCTGGAGGAAGGCTATGAAGTTGAGATCTCCCAAGACCTGGAAAACTTTCACCTAGAGCAAGAAGCTTAAAAAGCTTTACTTAGCTTAGCAAAGACACTAGTGTGTGGCCACTCAGTCTGTGCTTTTACCAAGATGGGGATCAGCTGTAAGGATCTCTTCCTCAGCCTGTGGAAGAGTAATGACTTCTGGTGACTGGAGTTCGTGGTGAGATCCATTCAAACCAGAAATTAGCTGTAAGTTCCTGACACAAACGGTATTTAGCACAGCTTATGGGGTCCTCCTCTCCATGGCTTGGAGGCTTCAGAAAGATATCTCAAATTTATCTTAGAAGGAGGGTCTGTAGCTCAGCCACCTGATACTGTTTTTCCTTCAAGGTTCATCAGGCATGGCCCCACATTCTGTGCTGATTGGGGAGGTCATGAGAGCAGCTGCTAGGCCTGAAGGCTAAAAGAGCAACATCTTTTTGATGATGTCATTATCTCTGAAAGCATCCTTCTCACTTAGATCCTACAAGAGAATCTGGAAAGCTTAGTCACAGAAAATATGAGTGCTAGATTTTTATTTTTTTAAAAAAAGACACTACAACTGGGGAAGCTGGGCTCACATGAACCATGAGTGTCCATGGGTGAATATCAACAGGATGAGGTCTGTATCTGGGACAGTCATGATGCTGAAAGGGGTGTAAGGATCACAGTGGACAAATAATGCAATAGTGGGAAGCTGTGGGGATAAGGGCAAATGCAATTCTTGTGTACAAGCAGAGAGGGAAGAGAAGGGCAGGGCAGGGAGATTGACCTCCTGTGTAACCACTGAAACCCAACACTGAATGGTGCAGGCAGAGCTGGAGTGTTTGGGTGTTTTAAAGGAACACAGAAAATTAGAGTTTCACAGGCTTTATAGTGTAAGAGTTACAGAGCTCTTTTTATCTTATTGCCCAGCTGAATTATGGTATATATGTAACTTTGAGGGGGGGAAATACTGGGAAATAAGTAGCTCTTTAATTGCGGGGCAGAAAGCACAATAAGGACTAAAAATTGAAAATAGGTGCAATAAGAGACTTTTTATTTCCCCCCCATAGGGATTCACTGCTAGCAGAAGGAGTACAAAGTCTGCTGCAAATTCTTTGCTGTGTTTTATATGACTGCCTTTGCCATGTCTCTCTAAAGGTCACAGCCAGCCTCATCAGGTACTATGGAAGCTGCCACAAGCAGGGGTGAGTGAGAAGGGACAGATGTGACATAGGGCCCTAGGGAAGACATTCAGCCCTGGGTTTGGTGCCTGTCACAACTGTGTGCACCTTCTGTTAAAGCAGACTCTGAACGGCACCTGTACACTGACCAGTCCCACCCAGCACTGCTCCTCTGGCTGATATGGAAATGCCTGAAAGCATTTTGCCCCTTTTTTATGTCATGCTTTGAAGTCCCTTTGAGAGGAGGCAGGATGTGGTGAGCAGCAAAGCTGACAGGCACAGTCTACCTTGCCTTTTTATCCTCACTTAAGTTTAAGCTTTGCTTAGCATGAGTGATGGGGCTCAGCTGACAGGTTACAGACACAGTCAGCATTCATGTCTGTGAGAAACTCTGCAGCAAGAATCCTTGAGTGTCACCAGCAATCACAGCAGTCCCTCAATAATCCAAATATAACTAAATCAGAGCAAGGCTCAATTTCAGAGGCAGGGAAAACTACCATCCTCAATGAAAATACCTTTTGCCTTAGAGTACATACACCAGGAAAAATTTACCAGGCAGTAAAAACCTCTTCCACTATTAGGAAGGAGGATGACACAAGTCACTGCCTGGCAAGAGAACAGTTATAGCTTTAACAACATGATGCAATTCATTTTTACATGCAGAAGTCAGATCTCTGGCTCAACCATAGTTGTATGCAGTGCTTTTAACAGAAACCACAGATGTTCTTGAACGTTAGTGCAAAAAGCCTGTGCTTACAGTAACACCACTGGCCAAGCAAGAGTGAAACCAAAGACTTCTCTATGAAAACCACATCTAGACAGCATTCTCTCTTTTGCTCTTGGCGAGCAAAATAGTCTCTGCATCTCAGTCAATGCAAGTGGTCCTCAGCCATGACGTACTGAAGGATCAAAAAGTAAATCTCAGTGAAAGAGATTTCTGTTTGGGCTCACCAGCCCCAGCTGCCTGAGAACAGAGGTGAATGGATCCTGGCAGGTCAGCCAAGAAGAGCTCAAGATGCTCAACAAGCTCCTAAAGCAAACCTATACCAGAGGAACTAAGAAGGGCACACAAAAGTATTGCAGGAGGCTGGACTGTTCTGGGGCCCTGCACTGAGCTGGCATGCTGCTGTTTTCAAAGCTGAAACAGGGAACCAGAAATGCCCCAGGAGGAGCAATGCACAGATCCAGAGCACAGAGAGAGTCATCTGCTTGAGGAGAAGTAGTGGTCCTGCACAGCTGGGAGCAAGACCCTGAGCTCTTGGCTCCGTTTCCTTGCCCAGGGCTGCTTTTGGATGAGGATGCACCACTCCTCAGGTCAGACTGTTCTAGGGAACATCTGCTTCATGTTGCAGGCATAGAGGTGAGTGGCACAGCGAGACACACAGTTAAAAGCTGCTAGTTACAGCTAGCAGTGCTGGGTCGCCCTCTCCCTGCTGGCTTTATGCTGGGGCAGGCAGAGTCTGAGGGGCTCCCTGGGCACACTCCTGCTCTCTATAGGACGCCTTGCCTCAGGAAACCTGCCTGCACTCAGCAGCTGCTCAGGGCAGGGGTGTGACTGCTGTGGGGCTACCAGCTGGTGCCCTGTACGGGTGGCATGTAGTACACTGCTGGGTGGGGAGATGGGTCTTTCCCTCACCTGCCATCAGAGACCATTTCCTGCACCCTCCCCTTGGTGCTGCCTGGGTCTGACTTGGTGCTGGAGTCTGGAGATGGGGCTTTGGTGCCCAGGGACTTCTCCAAAGAGAGGACCAAGTGGATCAGCTGCCAGAGGCTGTTCTCCAGGTGTTGCTTCCAGGCTTGCTGTGCCTGGGCAGGGGATCCCAGCCTCTGAGGTGAGGGGGGAGGGACAGCTGGAATCAGCTGAGTCTGTGGGAGCACAGGCAGCCCCCTGTCCTGTGGGGGTCTTGTAGCCCTGATGTGGCTCAGGGGAGCTTCCTTGGCAGTGGTTCCTGACCTGACAGTGCATAGCAGTACTTCAGGAGAGTGTCCACACTGACATGCAGCAGGGCATCAGTGGGCAAGAGAGAATCCTGCCCTGGGGCTGGGGAGAGAGTGAGACAGGGGCTGAGGGCACCTTTCTGAGGCTAGCCAGGAAGCTGCCAGTGGAAAAGAGTAGCTACAGGAGATCAGGGGAGCAGGGGTGCTCAGTGCAGCCATACCTGCTTCTGTAGGAGAGCTCTCACCCCTTGCCCAGGAGTGTGGGATTGCTCCATCAGGAGAAGGTTTTCTGGAGGAGACAAACCTGGACATGGGATTCGCTGAATGGAGGAGAGAGGGAGAAACATGAGTCCTGCTGTATCATCTTCCCTTCCTCCTCCTCCTCCCTCCTT